CTACGGGCTACTTTTATTTCAAGTTCGAGCAAGCACTCACTCGATCGTTACGCCTATGGGCTACATTACTTCGAGTTCGAATCATTCACTCGATGACTAAGCCTACAGGCTACTTTTATTTCGAGTTTGAGCAAGCAAGCACTCGACCATTACGCCTACGGGCTACATTACTTTGAGTTCAAATCTTTCACTCGACTACTAAGCCTATGGGCTACATTTATTTCGAGTTCGAGCAAGCACTCACTCGACCATTACACCTACGGGCCACATTACTTCGAGTTCGAATCATTCACTCAACTACTAAGCCTACGGGCTATATTTATTTTGATTTCGAGCAAGCACTCACTCGACAATTATGCCTATGGGCTACATTACTTCAAGTTCAAATCATTTACTCGACTACTAAGCCTACGGGCTACATTTATTTCGAGTTCGAGCAAGCACTCACTCGACTATTACGCCTACGGGCTACATTACTTCGCGTTAGAATCATTCACTCAACTACTAAGCCTATAGGCTACATTTATTTCGAGTTCGAGCAAGCACTCACTCGACCATTATGCCTACGAGCTGCATTACTTCGAGTTCGATTCATTCACTCGACTACTAAGCCTACGGGCTACATTTATTTCGAGTTCGAGCAAGCACTAACTCGACCATTACGCCTACGGGCTACATTACTTCGAGTTCGAATCATTCACTCGACTACTAAGCCTACAGGCTAATTTTATTTTGAGTTCGAGCAAACACTCACTCGACCATTACGCCTACATGCTACATTACTTCGAGTTCGAATCATTCCCTCGATGACTAAGCCTACGGGCTACTTTTATTTTGAGTTCGAGCAAGCACTCAGTGGACCATTATGCCTACGGGCTACATTACTTCGAGTTTGAATCATTCACTCGACTACTAAGCCTACGAGCTACTTTTATTTCGAGTTCAAGCAAGCATTCACTCGACCATTACGCCTACAGGCTATATTTCTTCGAGCTCGAATCATTGACTCAACTAATAAGCCTAAAGGCTACATCACTTCAATTTTGAATAAGCGCTCGCTCGATTATAGAGGCCACGAAGTCCAAATTTGATTAAGTTGTTTAAATCCTTGTGAAAACATTCATAAGGCGTGAATAAAGTCTTCACAAGACCGGAAACAAAACAGAAGCAAGTCGGCAAAAAAATGGGATATTTCTATATACAAAATTGTTTACATGATTGATTACAACGTAAAAATTAAGGACTAAGCTTCCTGGTCATCCCCAGGAGCTGTCTCTTCTCTATCAGGCTCCCACCATTCTCGGATCTGCTCTTACTCCCATCGTCATCATCATTGTCATCATCATCGTCATCGGAAACTAAGGCTTCAACATCAGCTTTGAGTTCTTTGGCCCTTTTTATCTCTTCAGCGAGTTTGAAACCATGAGCATGGATCTCCTCGAGGGTTTCCCTCCGAGATCGGCACTTAGAAAGTTCATCGACCCAATGTGCTCGAGAATCGGCGGTCTTGACTGCCTCTCTTGCTTGGACCTGGGCAGCTTCAGCATCGGCCCGATAGACGGCCACGAGTGCATCCGCATCGGCCTTTGCCTTTTCGGCATCAGATTCGGCCTTGGCAAGTGCAGAGGCCAATCGAGCCTCAAGCTCCTCTATTCTTCTTATTGAACCAGGACTTTTGCCTTCATTCTCTGAAGTTGGGTTTCGGCCGATGATAACCGGGCTCGAGCAGTTTCTTTCTCTGCAGCAAAGCGGTCCATACCTTCTTTCCACTGCAAAGACTCCGCTTTTATCACATCGACCTCCTCACGCAGCTTCCCGATCATCTCATTTTTTGCTGCAACTGTGAGACCAAAAATTAGCCATCGTTCTGATATCAAGCCCATAGGTTTTTAAAAGTATCTTAACTTGCTCAAACAGATCAGTCTGATCTACATAAGCCTTGGCCAACTCAGCTCGGAGGTCTTTTATTTCCTCTTCCCTTTGCCCTAAGAGAAGTTTTAGGGAGTTCCTCTCATCAGTAACCCGTTGAAGGTCAGCCTCGTATCGACGCAACTTGTTTTGGGATCAAGAACATGCTTCTCGATGAACTGCCGCTGCCTGCAAAGAAACTAGAAACGAAGTTAGAAACGAAAAGTAAACATAAAGGTAGTACCGACAAAATAATTTTAAGGCTTACCTGATTCAAAGCCTACTTTACCCCGTGAAAAAGATTCGATTCATCACTAGTACCGACAACGTCCTCGATACCGGTAAACAGATCACGAAAGGGATCCTCTCCATCATGAGGCCTGTCTAGATCGAGGGCCCCCAAAGCTTGGGCTTCCCGAATCACCCCTACGGAAAAAGCGGGAAAGGTGGGCGAATATTCGATTGCTGCTGCCCCAAATAAATCACTTGGAGCATTCTCTTCAGTTCGTAGGGATTCAAGATGGGCCCCTTCAGACATATCCCATCTTCCGTTGGCTCCGATGGGATGCGTCTTTGATCTCTGACAACTCAGGGACTCCGCCCGAATCTTTCTCTTGTATACCCTCAGCTCGAGGTGGAGCCTCATGAAGCATCATCGATCCAGCTGCCGATGGGGCATCGATTATTCTCTTCGTTTGGGCCGCCAGCATGGACCCATCATTTTATTCTTCTTCTTCATCTTCATCCCCTAGATGCAAAACTGATTCTACGATCAAATGAATGGCATTCTTGTTCGGCTTACGAGCCGTCCTCTTCTTCGGTTTTGGACCTTCGGGAACGGAGGTTCTTTTCCTTTTATTTTCCTTCACCGGCTTTGGGACAGAGGCCAAAGTTTCTTCCTCGATGGACAAGGGCCTCAAAATTGCATCTTTGCCTAAACCTACATATGGAAAATTTTATTAAAATATTTGGAAGGCATCTCGTTCGAATTATCAAAGTGTACGAGAGAGAGGCTTACCGTGATTTTTGGCCTCCCACCGACCCTTTGACAAATCACGCCATGAGCGCTGTGCGTATGTGGAGGTCGAAACATGAGCTCGTACCCAGTTCTTGAGATCGGGAACTGCTCCGGGAATCCAAGGAACCGCTGCATCACAAAAAGTAGAGTATCGATGAGAAAAGAAATAAAAGAACAAAATAGAAGGAAGTAACAGCAGGATCACACTTACGTTTCATATTCCACTCCTTGGGAAAGGGCATCTTTTTGGTCGGAATCAGGTCCGAAGTCCTCACTCAAACGAACCTACCCATCCAGCCCCGATCCCTATCCTCGTCAATGCTCGAGAACAGAGCCTTGGTAGCCCGACACTGCAGTTTTATTAACCATCCTCGAAAAAGTCGAGGACGGTACAATCAGATACGATGGTCGAGGGTGAACGACATCCCCTCGGTTTTGTTCAGAAAGTATCGGATCAAGATAACGATCCGCCAAAAAGAAGGATGGACCTGGCCTAGCGTTATTTGGTATTGACGACAGAAATCAATAATAACAGAATCGAGGGGACCGAACGTGAAAGGGTAAGTATACACATTCAAAAACCCTTTCACGTAAGTGGTGATATCTTCATCAGAAGTAGGAATTATTATTTCTTTTTGTTATTCCGCAAATTGTTAGGCTTACCTAGTCTTAGAGACCAGATGCCATCACGACGTCATACGGAGGAAAATTTGGGGTCGTGACATGCCCTTCCTGCACTCTTCCAAAATTTCATCGGGATCTCGTGTGGCATGGTCGCTCTACCCCTACTCATCTTGCGCATAGCCCCTCAACCCCCTCCACCCTTACATGTCTACAATATCCACAATCACAATGACTCTCTGAGTGCTCCAAATCACCTAGCACAATATTTGTACCCTCTCTTTATTCAAGAGTCTATGGAAATATATTTGCCATCTATGTCTAATATGTGCCCCTTCTACTAATACTTTGTCGTCTTTATCTTTAATGTACTTCACTTGATCCTGGTGCCGGGCCTTCCTTTCTCTCGCCTTAGCTAGCCTGTATAGCTTCTTATCCCAACCTTTGACCTCCAGTTCTTCATATAAACGTGAGGTCAAGGGTGGGAAGAAGAAGCCGTACATGCTAGCTAAGATGAAAATTAATTTAAAATATATTTTATTATTAAGATGAAAATCCACCTTGCCAGACGATAATCTTAACCTTAAATTTCCTTGTAAAAGCTTTTAACCAAAAAAATTATAAAGACCCAAAATGGTTAATAGAGCTGAAAACATCTACTTGCTTATCATATTCATGTCTTTCCCTTGTTAAATTTTTTAATGCATTTAAATTTAACAACAATTAAATAGAACATAATTCTAAAAAATTAATTATGTTTCATAGAAAAATAAATAATCTTCAACTACCCAAATACGAATTGAAATTCTTAAATCAATGGGAAATAATTAAAAGTAAATGAGAAAATTATAGGAATTTATTATGTACACTTAATAACAAGTTTTGATTTGGTGAAGAATTTGTGATTGCTACCATGCCAGAAGGAATATAATTTATATAATAATAATTTTATTTATTTTGAGCTATATTTATGCAATTGCATAAATAAGAGAGTATTGATATTCAAAAACACAAAATTGAAGAGAAGACTTATTAGTTATCCTATGAGCAAAATAAAATGTTTACTGCTTTTAACGTATATTTTCAAATTTATTTTTACTAGTTCTTTTTATTTTATTTTATTTTATTTTATTCCTCTTGTTTAAAAAAAAAATAGAAGTCAAATAAAATTTGGACCCTAAAATAAAAGGGTTGATCGGAAAAAATAAATTTTGTTAGTTTTGAGGGGCAAATATGAGCTAGGCCACTTATGATAAGGGCATATTGGGACCAAGGTCAAATGGAGGGCAAATATATTTTATTTTGTATAGTTGAGAGGCAAATTTAAACTAATCCTACTGATGATAAGACCATATTTGGCTCTAATTCAAAATAAGGACAAAATTACTTTATTATTTTCAACAGTTGAGGTTGAGGGGCATTGTTGGCCCTTTTCCCATTTACAAATGCTATATCATCCATCAATCTTGGTATTAAAACGCAATTCTATGCTAAAAAAAGTCACCAAACCAAAACGTCACTTTGAATGATTCAGTGCGTCGGGCGAGCATTGTTTTTAGTGTTGGTTTCTACTCCGGCTATCACTACTAGGACTAAGCTGTCAATTCCATTCCATTCCAGATCTTGTTCCCCATTCTCTCAGCGAGCCATGGCAAAGACCATGCCGTCGGCGAAGAAAGTGAGGCACGAAATGGAGATGTTCGGGGACGTTAGAGTGGACAACTACTACTGGCTCCGCGACGACTCTCGCTCTGACCCAGAGGTCCTCTCTTATCTCCACCAAGAAAATGCTTACACTGATTCTGTAATGTCTGGTGCGTCCGTATTCCTTTCTTAAAATAAATTCATCATACATTTCCTTACTTCTTTGAATATTTTAGCTCATGGAATTGCAATGTGTATCAAACATTAGTTCCATGGAATATACCAAAGATGCCTTGAGATCCAAATAGGATTCATTTGGATGGATGCATTTGGTCCTACGTATTTCAAATTGGTAGGATTAAATCCTTTTTAGTACTTTGGATGTTACCTAATTAAATTTGGATTTAAAATGCAAACCGAAATCACAATATAATTCAATCCATCCTGCCGCAAGGCCTTTGGTCTCGTGATGCAAGCGTAGCTTGTGATGATCGGGCTAGGTGCAATTCATGGGTCCAAACCCTGCAACAGAAAGCAATCTGGTATTTAAACGAGGAGAGGGGTCGGTCCATTATCTGCCGAGTTGACACCCTCGGCAATTTCTCGGTTTTAAGGGAAAGAATATAACCCAACCCATCGTTTGTGACCCTTGAAAATATTTGAAATTTTGAAATTCACAAATTTGAAATTCCCTACCAATACCTCCATCCAGATGGACCATATAAATTTTAAACCCCTCTTAATTCTAAATGTCTCCATCCAAGCAGACCCTTTCGTTGGCGGCATAAATAAAAGTAATTCCAGTAGAAAAGTTTGCTATAAGTTATACATAATACTCTTCAACATGTTTATGTGTAGCCCAGATAGTGCTTCGAAAAGTAGAAGAGTGAGGTCAAGTTGAGTAACCTGTGATCTCTCAGCACCACAGAATATTAATGTATCATCTGCATATAGCAGGTGTGATACATTGACTGAGCTTGTGGGATTTCTGCCAACCTGGAAACTTTGTATCCATTCTAGTTCTTTTGCTCTTCTACCAGTCTTCAATAAGAAAGGGGAAATTGGATCTCCCTGCCTTAGACCTTTCTGAGGGGAAAAGAACCCGACAAGACTTCTGTTGACTAGGATTGAGAATTTGACTGTTGAAATACAAAATTGAATCCACATTATCCATCTGTCTCCAAAAGTCCATCTTCTTTAGCAGGCTGGTAAGAAAAGACCAGTTTAACTGATCAAATGCTTTCTCAATATCTAGTTTGCACAAAATGCCAGATTCACCACTTTTAATTTTTCAGTCCAGGACCTCATTAACTATTAGGGATGCATCAGTGATCTGCCTTTCTTGATGAATGCACTTTTTTGGCCAGAGATCAACTTGCCAATGACCTTCTTTAATCTCTCAGCCAGTACCTTGGCTGTTAGTTTGTACACACTACCAATTAGACTGATTGGCCTGTAATCCTCCATTGCTCCTTTCTTTTTTGGAATAAGTGCAATAAAAGAAGCATTGCAACATCTCACCATATGTCCATGCATATGAAAATGATTCAGAGCAGCCATAACATCTGTCTTGATGAAATCCCATGTCTTCTGGAAAAAAGCCATGGTATACCCATCAAGGCCAGGAGATTTGCCTGGGGCGCAAGATTTCAAAGAGGCAAGGACCTCTTCTTCATCAAACGTAAGCTCTAGTTCTTCACTTTCTTGTGAAGTAAGTGTAGATAGCCCTTCAAAATTCGCTGTAGGTCTCCGGGGTTCCCTTTCCTCATAAAGTTGCTGATGAAACTCCAAGATTTCTTGTTTGATCAGCACTTTGTCTTCAATTAGTTCTTCCCCCACTTTGAGTCTGTCAATAGAGTTGTTCCTTCTGTGAGTGGTCGCAATTCTCTGGAAGTATTTAGTGTTTTTGTCTCATTCTCTTAACCATAGACTCCTGGATTTTTGTCTCCAGGATATTTCCTCTGCCAATGCAATCTGTTGCAATTCTAATTTCAGGTTGAAAGTTTTCAGCTTTTTCTCTGTAGTCAGAGGCCTCTGATCTGCAGCTTGGTCGAGGAGAATCAAATCCTCAAGAGCCCTGGTCCTCTTGGTATCTACCTTTCCATAAACCTCCCTATTCCATATTATGATGTCTTTCTTTAAGAGCCTTAGTTTCTGAACCAAAATGTAATCTGGTGTACCCCTGACTGTGTATGAGAGCCACCAGTCATTGACCATCTCCAAAAAGCCTTCAGATTGAAGCCACATATTTTCAAACTTGAAATATGAGGATGTGGCTTCCTAGTCTCCACATTCAAATATAATAGGTGTATGATCTGAGATTACCCTAGCCATTGCACTCTGCTTTACATCTTTGAACACATCACTCCGTTCATTAGAGATTAAAAATCTGTCAATTCTGGAAGCTTGGTTCTCTCCTCTTGACCATGTGTACTGCGCCCCTGTAATGGGAGATCAATCAATTTCAGGTTTGAGATTAGATCTGAAAAGTTCTTCATTGCCCTGGATCTCCTTGTGCAATTGAGCCTTTCAGTTTCATATCTACAAACATTGAAGTCACCTCCAATTACCCAATTATCGGACCAAAGACCCTTGATTGATGCCAATTCAAGCCAAAGTACATTTCTTTCTGAGTTGGTATGAGAGCCATATACACCTGTAAATACCCATTTGAAGTCTTCTGCGAGGCTTTCAAATCTGCATGAAATTGAGTAAGTTCCAGCTTGGGTGTCAACACATTGCCAGGTTCTTCTATCCCACATGATAATTATTCCTCCTTTGCTTCCCCATGCTTTGAGTTCAGCCCATGAGACCCATCTATTTCCCAAATTTGTCTAATCCATGGGATGCACCAGTTTTCAATTTTAGTTATCTGTAGGCAAAAAAAATTCACCCTCCATTTCCTTAAAAGGGATTCCAAAGCTATGTTGCTCGGACTCTCCAAAAGTGCTGCCGCTAGGGCTGCTTAACGGGCGGATCGAGCAGTTATTTACTCTTAACGATTTGGCTTATCGGTTATCGGTTTTTAAATGTATTAATCCGCTAGCCACCCGATAAGATATCGGGCGGATTAGTATCGGTTTAGCTATTATCGGGCGGTTATCGAGCGGTTATCGGTTTAGTTTCAGTTGATTGAAACTTAACATACTTCAACATAGTGTTGGGGAGTACATCCTCGAGACAACAATATAGTCAACATTTCTCATACATATATATCAACTAAATTACATCATGAGGCCATATTACTAGAGTCAAATACTGGATATCAAAAGAGAAGTAATCTATAGAGATCCATCACTGTACCCATGATGAAAGATTACTTTGAGCGAAATACCTTATTGGAAAATAAACAGACGATACTTCTTTTATTTTCTCATACTACATTCAAGTGGATGGTAAGGGACTGAGAAGTGCAACACCAACAATATCATTTGAACAGATTTCTTACTGTTTAAGAAGATGACAAACAGTTAAAAAACAAAAATCACAACTTGGTTAAGATTGAACTTAATGTCACTAGTTCAACACATCCCTTCAATCCAAATAAGTAAGACATAAACAATAGTTAGTTTGAGAAAATTCAGTTAAAGATCTTGCTAATAAGTAATGGAAAAACTATCCCTATTTATCAACTTATATAGAAAAACTTCATTCTTTAACTTAATATCAACCAAATATTTATCAACTCAAATATTATCCAGGCTTGTGTTATAACATCCTTTAACTGAATATCAACCTGATTTTCAATTGAAGTGAAGAAAAGAATGATTAGAATAGATTATGCATCTTTAACTTGCAAAACATGGCCATACATTTTTTGACTTCCTCTTTCCTTCTTCCTTGCTCTGCTGGCTATGCGTGTGTGTGTGGTTGTTGTTTGAGAATTTCTTGACATAGGAAGGTAACGTCACTGATGAAGCTATTCATTGAAATTTGAAAAGGCAGCCCGGTTAGCCACCTTTATTTTGAAAATTAGTTCAAGACCTTATGTTTCTAATTCAAACTTGTACCAATTAGTACCAGTTTAAGTATTGAAAAGGCAGGCGAGTCGGCGAAAGCCGAGAGGGAGAGGCGAGACGGCGAGAGGGAGAGGGAGAGGGAGAGGTAGA